GATGGCTAAATAAATAGACTGTAATGGAGAATTAATAGCCAGGAGTTATGTTATTAACCACCATGAATCTGGCTGTTAATATCTCCATTAACACATGCACAATCACACGAGTTTCAGGAGTTAAAAGAATTTGAAAGGTTTTAAGAAATATAAAATAAAGGCAAAACGTGGACCCTCATACGGACCATTTTTTGTCAATCAAGTCCAACATTCGTGTACGCATGTCGCGTACGCATACAAGTTCAAGGTCTAAAACCTATTTCAGTCCGTGATTTGCACCCCCTGCGAGCGCACGTGGAAAGAGCATCTATGCTACACATTATTACACCCTTCTAAAGTGCAATCACATTTAAAGTAGTCATGCCTTTATCTATTTTCCTATGTGGGATAACTTTAAATTACTTTCCCTTCAACACAAAATATTTTCCAATGCATTACTTTAAGCTCCAATTTTCATTCACCTGAACATTATTTTTGGCAAGTAAATATATGATTTCGATGTTCTCACGAAGGAGAACACAAATCAATTTTGATCTTCCAAAATAACGAAATGGGTCCCACGCAAAATTTATGCCAAAGTCAGCAACTGTATTCATTTTTTTCCAACACAACCGTGGGTAGCGAGTTTGATTCATTGATGGCAAATGGAATTTGGTCTTTTTGTCCTAGACCAGAAAATAAAAAGGTAGTGAGAAACAAAAGGGTCTATAAGATCAAAAGAAAACCTGATGGTAGCATTGAGAGGTACAAAGCGAGACTTGTGGCTAAAGGGTTTGATGAAAGAGCTGGAATTGACTACCACAAGACTTTTTCTCCTGTAGTTAAACCATCCACCATAAGATTGGTATTGGCTTTAACAGTTATTTTCCATTGGAACATTAAACAACTTGATGTCTCTTATGCTATTTTACATGGTGTTTTAGATGAAGTGTTCATGGAGCAAGAAAGATGATTTATTGATGATAGTTTCCCAAACTTTGTGTGTAAACTTCATAAATCACTCTATGGGCTAAAATAAGCCCCTAGAGCTTGGTTTAGGAGATTGTCCCAACAACTAATTGAGTATGGCTTTGTTGAAACTTCAGTAGATCATTCACTTTTTGTTCTTAGCACTAACGAATTGAAATTTTCGGTGCTAGTGTATGTAGATGACACAATTGTGACGATCAAATCAAGATGCAACCTGTGAGTGCATTGACAAATTGAAGAACACTTTTCTGATTAAGTATCTGGGACAAATCAATTATTTTCTTGGAGTTGAAGCACACAAAAGCAATGTTGGTTACACCTTTGTCAAGCATAGTATATTGCAGATTTGTTAGAAAGCACCAAGATGCCTGGAGCAAAACCTCTGGCGTGTCCTACTATATCTGGTCCCAAATTGTCTACAATAACTGGTGCATTGCTTTCTGACCCTACTGAATACAGAAGAGTAGTTAGTGTATTACAATATTGCACCATTTCACATCCTAATATTACATATGCCGTCAACCAACTCTTCCAATTTATACACATGCCGAGAAAACCTCATTGGATGGAAGTTAAAAGAGTTCTAAGATATCTGAAGGAAACCATTACTTTTGGACTGTTTTATACCCCTTCAGATTTGAAATTAAATGCCTTTTGTGATAGTGATTGGACTGGAAATCCAGAAAATAGGAGAAGTACTAGTGGTTACAGTGTTTTCCTAGGTCAATATCTTATTTCCTGATTTGCTTCTGTAGAATACATTGTATGCACACATCAGTTCGTGCGTTATAATGTGAAATAGCAATGAGCAATAGCAAATCAAAAGTCATTCACGAATGTGCAACTGCTCAGAATTGAGCAACAATTGAGAGATTATTTAAGAAATAAACGTGACTGTAAAAGCAGTATGAACTTTACAGCGTCCCTCAGAGATCTTAGAAACATTTTTAAAACTAGTCACTGTACTTACATATACATTCATTTTCATGATTTGTGTCAAAAAGAACAAGAAAAAGTTAGAACTGATCAAATCTCTGATTATAGTTTGTTTTAAGATAACTGAATAACTTCTCTTCATCAAAAACAAAATCACTTTTCTGAATATTGATTTTCCTTAAAAACTGATAACTTGTATGATACTAAAGCATATATAGTCCAACTATAGGCAATTTTGTGGAGTAACGTGTCAAACTGAGATCCAAAAAATAATTGATACGTGCAAAAATAGTTTTGACTTGTTAAAATTAGACAAGAAGGTTTCATGGATAGACTCAGTAGAAGAATTACATTCAAAAATCGAGTTCTTCACGTGGAGGAAAATCAATTGTTGGAGGGTTAATTGTTGTAATTGACTGTTTACTCATGTTCTTACCACCATCAATTGAATAATTATTGGTCGAATTGAACCATTGTAGCATAATAGAATCATCAACAAAGCTCAAACCGTGACTTTCGCACAGAAATTTCGCTGCAACCACAAATTGAGCGGGTTCACGGTTCAGTTGTGGTTGACCCATGGCTGGGTTAGGTACGCCAGGGTAAGGCACACCTAGCCCAGGTGGTGCACGACCCTAGTTCGCCAGAACGACGCCATAATTGGCAGTAAGGCAGTGCGTTGTCGCGAGCTTCGCGACAATCTGTTCTTTTGGATTTGTTGGGCAGGTGTTTGGGATGAATTGTTGGTATGGTTGGGGTCGCTTGGGGTGGGCTTTCGACCGGTGTAGGTTCGATGGTAGGGTTGTGGTCGGAAGGGCAGTTTCCGGCGGTTTGTGCATATTCAGGCAGATTTTTGAAAAAGTTGATTTCTTCCTTGTTTTTGGATAAAATTGAATGATGCTTGGTGGTAATAGATGTAATACCCCAGACCAAGAAAGTTTAAGAGATTTGATAGGTACTACTCATACCACAAGGTGCACCTTCTTTTTCGGAAGTCCATTGTCAGAAATTCTACAATTAAGCGTGCTTGGCTTGGCTTGGAGCAATTCTATGATGGGTGACCCCTTGGGAAGTTTTCTCGGGGAGCGTGCGAGTGAGGATAAAGCATGCTGAAAAGACCAATGTTGGTACAGTGGGGACAGTACGTCGTCGATCTAACGGTCGGGACAGCCCGTTAAGTGGGATCCGGGTCGTTACAATAGAAGCTGATGAAAGCGGCTGTCTTATGATATCAAAATCCGGTGGTTTGGGAGGTCGAATATTGTCAGGATTTTTATGCATTTTTGGGCAATTCTTCCTACAACATCGATGTCTATTTTTTTGAAATTTTTGGAGTGGTGTTTGGAAGTGTAGGGCACGCTTTGGTCTGCCATTTGGGTATAGGGTTTCAGCATTTGATTTGAGTGTAATGTGAATTTTTTTTTTTTATGGAGTAATGTGAAGTTTTTAGTCACAAGAGTTAAGAGGTAATAAGAAAAATTTTAGAGGAAAATAAAAAAATTTTAGTGGGAATTGAAAATTTAAGTAGAGGGTGCAAAGTGCAATGAACAGGCGTTGCTAAAACTATTAATGGCAACGAGCAATGAACGTTGTAAAAAGGTTAATGGCAACGTTCAAATGCACGTTACTAAAACTATTAATGACAACGTACAATAAACGCGCGTTGCTAAAACTATGACAACGTGCATTTGAACGTTGCAAGAAGGTTGATGACAACGTTCAAATACATGTTGCTAAAACATCTAATGGCAACGTGCAATGAACGCGCGTTGCTAAAACTATTAATTGCAATGTGTAATGAACGTTGCAAAAAGGATAATGACAACGTTCAAATGCACGTTGCTAAAAAATCTATGGCAACGTGCAATGCACGTTGCAAAAACTAATCTACGGCAACATGCGTTGCACGTTGCAAAATGTTAACAGCAACGTGCATTGAACGTTGCAAAAAAAAAAAATTAAAGACAACCGACCGCGAACGTTGTAAAATGGTGTATTAGCAACATTCATTAAAAAACGTTGCCAAAACTCAATTTTGTCAACCAATAGCAACATACACTTACTGAATGTTGCCATAGACCCCTTTTAGCAACATGCAATTGATGAATGTTGTCTTTTGCAGGAAAATGCCTTTTTTCTTGTAGTGTGTTCAAAGAAATAGGGGTGGTTCTTTCCAATCCACCTACTTTATGGTGTGATAACATAGGTGCAATTGCCTTGGCATCCAATCCAGTATTACATGCAAGAACTAAGCATGTGGAAATCGATTATCACTTCATCAAAGAAAAGGTTATGAATCAAGATATATTGGTGAAGTTTATCTCTACTCAGTATCAGCTGTCAGGAATCATTACAAAAGAGCAAACTGCATCACGTTTTACTTTTCTAAGGGACAAACTATTGGTTTGTCCTCTACCCAACAGTTTGCAAGGGGTGTTGTGTTAGAGTATCTTATCAAGATTCAAGTACAGAAGTCAGTAGCAATCCAAGAAATCAAATTATTAATTGATAAGGTTTTGATTTGTTCAAACTATTAGTGACAAGGTTGATTAACGAACTTAGTTGAAGAACATTATCAAAAGATCCTCCTTGCTATATATTTTGTTATTCGGTAATCTATATAAACACACTCAATATATAGAGTTTGGTGTGTAGTGCCAGACTGCTCAATCCACCTTCGATCTCTCTCTACTGTATTTTCTTTACACATAGAAGGAAGGTTTCATATTTTCCGAACTTTCACCTCGTCAATAATTTTCCATAATAGCAAGCACCAAATAAGAACAAAAATTGATTTTGGCCATTCAAGGATAGTCTCATATTTTCAAGGCTTTCACTTAATGAATAACTTGAATAATCATATTGACAACTATTGCTAAATGCCAATAGTACTACATAGTATTACTTGAAATTTTACCATATATTAAGCACCAAATAATGAAGAAAAATTATTAGTGGATATGGCCATAAAACAGAGGTTCTGGAACCTAATAAATTCCCGTATATCCATTTACTAATCATGCATAATTCTACAAATATATAAACAGCATTGGAAATCAAGTAGGAGGGCTCATTTTACACATACACAATTCACTATGTTCACTCCCTCCTACAGATTATCGTGGCATCTTGCCCTACTTTTCATTATAATTTCAACATCCTTAGGTGAAGCTCTATCAAATCATTCGATTTCAGCCGTTCTTGTTTTCGGAGATTCTACTGTTGATTCTGGAAACAACAATTATATTGGAACTCTTTTGAAAGCCAACTTTCCACCTTATGGAATAGATTTTGTGAACCACGTTCCCACTGGAAGGTTTACCAATGGCCGCCTTGTCACTGATTTTGTAGGTAATTAACATTTTTTTTAATTCTGTATCTTTTTTTATTCTCCATAGAACATTTATTGGATTGATTAATTTGTTCTCTTTTACTCATATTAACAGCTAGTTATATTGGGATCAAAGACTACGTGCCACCCTATTTGGACCCGACGCTTAGCCTTGAGGAGATGATGACTGGAGTTTGTTTTGCTTCTGCTGGTTCAGGATATGACCCGTTTACGGCTCAAATAAGCGTCTCTCTCTCTCTCAAAAATGCACACATTTATTTATATACATTTTGCATGAAGTGGAATAATAAAGATTAACCGTTCATTAATGACTATAAGAGTCAATAGAAAGAAAATAATAAATACACTTTAATTAGAATAAGAAATGGAAAAGTGAGCATTTCTTAATTGGGATTTGATTACAATTTGAACACATTAAATTAGAGATAATAAATGTTTGTAACTTCTATGTTGTTTTTGTTTGTAATTGTTGCAGAGCGTGATTCCAGTGCAAAAGCAACTGGAATACTTCAAAGAGTACAAAATAAAACTTGTAAATTCGATTGGAGAGGAAAGAACAAAAAGTCTGATAAATAATGCTGCTTTCCTCATAAGCGCCGGTACGAACGACTTCGTGGTCAATTATTATGGCATCCCATATCGACGCAAAATATACAATATCACCGGTTACCAGCAATTCATATTGCAGCATCAAAAACAATTTATACAGGTCAGTCCATCAAATTAATCATTCACGTTGAAGCATGTAAAAAAGTGGGGCCACCTGCCCCCACACTAGATTTTAAATCCAAAATTTTACACACGATTTTTTAAAAATTCTTTAATAGTTTTCAATTTTGCCCTCACAATTCTAAAATTCTAACTCTGCCCCTATGTTCAGGGTCTAATCAATGAGGGGGCTCGATTGATAGCTTTGGTGGGGCTTCCGCCTATGGGTTGCCTACCAATCGTAATCACCCTTACTTCTGGAGTTACATTCACTCGCCGTGCATGTTTTGAATCATTAAACTCCCTTGCATTTGATTACAATCAGAAGCTCCAGAATGAAATAAAGGCTATGCAAACTGATGATGGCCCTATGATTGTTTATTTTGACATTCATCAACCGTTGATCAACATAATACAAAATCCCTCGCAATTTGGTGAGTGTAATCAACCTTCAATTACTTGTCTTTTATTCAGTCCTCATGGATCTCCAAGACTAAAAAATCCAACCAATGAACTGGTCTAAGGGCCTGTTTTTGCTTTTGCTTCCTGTAAAAGAGTTTTTGGAGGAAATTACCTTAATTTTTATTTAGAAACTATTTTTTAAATATACATCATATTCCAGAAGTGCTTTTAGAGGAAGCTACAATGGACCAACTGTCTCTAAAAACTCTTCTAACTACCGAAAGGACTTTTATAAAATTAGACAAATGAGTCCAAAATTAGCTTTTGGGTCTCAAAATCTCATTTTGACTTTTCAAAAGCTATGTCAAACAGCCCTAAGACCATTTGGACACCATTATTGAAAATTAAGTCAATGCATATAATTCATAGTTTATATCCTATAATTTAAAAATTATTCACAAGGAATTGCAGGTTTTGATGAGAACAATGTTGGTTGCTGTGGAAGTGGGCTTATAGAAGCAACTTTTTTGTGTAATGGAGAATCACATGTTTGTTCCAATACCTCGAAGTATATTTTCTTCGACTCGATACACCCAACCGAAGCGACATACAATTATATCTTTAAGACCATGAAGCCCACTATCGACAAGATTATTCGAGTACAATAAAGTCATTTTGCAATTTTGGTTTAGTCCTGTTTATGTGTTTGTATGTTAGCACACAGTATTAGTGAAATCTAATTCAAAAAATTAGAAATATTTAATTCTATTGAGTGCTATATAGTTCAATGTTTTTTCCATTACGATTTCAATTAAGAAAATCATAATTTCAATTTGGTTTCACAAAATACAAACAATAAACATGTTCTCAATGAATTTGGCACAACCACTTAAACCTTTATTCTTTGTTCCGTTCAACTTATCTTTAGTCAAGAACAAATTGAAGGTGAAGTCAAAATTTAACAACAAAAAACTACTTTTGAAGTGTAATATAATAAAGAACGTTGGTCAAATTGCCTATTTTCCCTTTCCTTGAATTAGCTCCTAAGAGTGATTCAAAATATTCCTTGGACTTTTATGTCAAACCAATTTCAAGCCTGCATATTAATTACAAGATTAGGAAAGCTTGGGTAATCCCCAACTGTATCAAATCACAAGAAATAAAATTTAAAAGACCCAAAAAATGAAAAACATAATATTTTATTCTTTAATGTTATAAACTAGAGAGAAAATGGAAGAAAACAGAGAAATGAATAGATTTTTGTGTATTTTATTGAGAACAGAAACTCTATATTTTTAAGTTACGATTAGAACTGTATGGATATAATAGTCATTCATAAATACTAATTTGTTTATGACGCTCCTCTTTAATGACTACTTACACAATAATTATCTCGTCTAATATAATGCTTAGCAAAAATTGAATGGGACAAAAACCAGACAAAGGAAAAACTGCGAAAAATAGAGTATTAAAATGTTGCTTCAATAGAACATTTGCAATAAAATCCAATGGAACATAATCGAAACAAAAAGAGTAAATCTATTCCCTTGATTTCAATTAATGAAAATCATTGTACATCCTTGTCTTGCACATCAATATTTTCAATATAATAATCCTAGTGAACTATGTTTCATATTTTCTTGTTACAGTTCCAAACAATATCCTTTTCATACAAGATATTTATCTATCTTCCTTTGAATTTAGTCGACATTATGGTCCGCTGACAAAAAAATTGTTACTCTTTTCGGGAATCTTGTATGCAATTTACAACATACGAGAGTAAAATCATTAAATTATTTTAAGGGTAAATGCCCTTTTAAGTTATGGACATTAATTATACAAAGAATATGTATTGTTAAAATCTTACTAGAAAAATCAGGTGACAAAAATCCTAACGAAGAGAAATAGCAAATTATTAATTTGAGTATGCTACACAAGTTTTTTCATAACAAATCTTGCGATAAAAATCTAATGGGACAGAATCTTGAGTAGGAAAAAAAAGAAAATAACGCACATTTATTCCCCTCGTGATAACATCACTTGAATATGCTTCAGTCATATTAACTTTTTAAGAATAGTATTAGTAGTCATACGAGTAGTGCTGGGCAAAATGTCCGAATCAAACCGAATCGAACCGGAACCGAACCAAACCGAGCGGGTTTTTTTAAATGAAATACTCAAACGGGTATCCAAATCGAGAACCGAATGGTTTGGTTCGGTTCTCGGTTCTAGACCAAGAACCGAAGAACCGAATAAGAACCGAATTTTTTTTTTTTTATATTGGATAAATTAATTTCTTTTATTTTTTCTAAACAAATTAATAATTTTTTTCTTATTAAATCTTATTAGTTGAACAATTTAGA